CCTGGCCACGCTGCTCTGGATACAGCCCAGGATACGGTTGGCTTTCTGGGCTGCCAGCGCACACGGCCGGCTCATGTCCAGCTTTTCATCCACCAGCACCCCCAAGTCCTTCTCCTCAGGGCTGCTCTCAATCCATTCCTCCATAGGAATCTTTCCCACCACAGCAGCAAGAGGCAGGAGTCATGCTGCCAGGAGCTACATCTTAAATGGGACATGAGTGGCCACGGGCATGGACATCAAACAGACGCTTTGCCAAAAGTCTTGTAGTCAGCCAAATAAAACCAGAATGAAACAAGCCAAGACACCCAACACGCTAGATTAGCCTATCTTCTAATTAAGATGAAGCAAAATTATTTTAGGTGAAGTGATGCTGGATGGAGTAAAATACAAACACCCCGAAGCCCAGACACATTTGCAGTCCAGCTCCCAGTGTGGCTTTCGGCACTCTGCAGCCTGAATGCAGAATTACCAAGTGTCAACACCATTCCAAAAATCAACTTTACCATGATCTCCATAGCGCTCCAGCGCGACGTTCCCCAGTACATCGCCATGCCTTGATTTATTACGTGTGTCATCGCTCGGACAATTTCTAAAGGAGGGAAAAACAAAGCATGAGAACTGCACAGTTTATCAGCACCAAATCCTCCCAAAACCACTTCCAAATGCCAAGTACATGGACAAGCCTCATCAGCTTTGCATTAAACACTGCTTCTGCTTCTGTTTGCTTGGTCCAGCGTGGATAAAAAAAGGCACTGACAGTCTGAATGTAAAGAATTTTATCCTACAAGTTGCTTAAAAGCTGTTTTTACCAACTGGCTATTACCTACCACCACCTTACAGCAATATTTCTTTTAAAATCTAACACAAGAGGGCAGCACAGTCGAAAAATACACTTAAAAATGTTAATTTCTTTTAAAATTTCATTACTAAACGCATATATTAGGTCCTGCTCCTTTTTGCTAGGAATATTAGGATGCCAGGGATAAAAATCCCAAAACTGGATCACTGAACCCTGTGCCACCGAGGGCCCTGCAGCTACGGGAGAAGCGGGCAGCACTTCTGCGAAACCCGGCACGGCTCCTTGGCACAGTGGTCCCACAGTCCTCATTTTCCTTTGGGAAGATGGAAGCCTACAAGGCTACATGCACCAGGACAGGATCTTTAATTTCCATCCATCAGACCTCTGCTGAGCAGCCCTGACTTCTGCGTGAGGGGGAGAACACCCATCAGAAACTTCAGTTTGCAAGAAAAAGAGAGAAGAACTGTCAATCCCTCATGGTTCCCCAGGAAGTTACAGAATCTGGAGGGATGCCTCATTACTGCTGTAAGGAAAATAGCCCCTGCTCACTGCTGCAGCTCATTTTTAAGCCTGATTTCTCCCCAGGAGCAGCCGGCTGGGTCCATGGCACTGGGGGGGACCCAGGCAGCGCTCATCACATCACTGCTGCAAGAGGAGCCGGGGATAGGACAGGATCCCCAGAACTGAGAGAGGTTCCCAGGAGTGAGTGGGGTCCCCAGGAGTGAACAGGTCTGGGGACTGGCAGGGTCTGCATCCCTGGGGACACAGTCCTCGTGAGCATCCATGAGAGCATAAATAATCGCTCTGGCTGTAGTAATAAATTCATATTTCTTACTGAGCTTTGGCACTCCCTGCCCTGTGGAGCTGAGCAGCAGCTGCAAGGGTACTGGCACTATATACATCATTTAAATGGAAGAAAATGGGCTAAACTCCCTCCGGAAAGCAAAAGAAAACAGTACTTGGTCACCGCGCTCAATGCCGCATGAGGCACCTTGCCGTCAGCGGGTGCTACCACATCTCCACGCGCTCTTCCCTTGGGAAAGCGGCAAGGGAGTGATACTCTACATCTACCCCATGGATTTCTGACCCGTCAAATGACGGTGAAATGGCTCGTGTCGGACGCGGGGCAGCACGGAGAAGCTCTGTGTGTTTATTGTAGCCCTTGGCGCATCTGCTGTTACTTGGACAATGACTCCGGGCATTGCTGTCTCAAGATCAAGATGAGCTGCCTTTTATATCATGAGGATTCTCATCCTATTTATGGAAAGAAAAAAAAAGGAACTTGGCAGAGGGGAGATTACACTGCCAATCTTGATGTTATTGTGAGATTTCTTCTGCCGGCAGCGACAAGCAGCTAAAGACGATGAAGTCTCCATTTATAACCTCGGAGGGCTGTACAAGAGACACGGTGCCTCTTGCGCCGGGCTCCTGCCCTCCCGCTGAAAAGGCCGATTTCCTCTCCAGGATAAGGTTGCCTTGCAGAGGTCTTGTTTCCCCAGTGAAGAGTAGAATTCAAATGCCTGATGTTATTCTCTATTTTCTTCCCCCCCTTTTTGTTTTGTCCGAAGCCATGCTTTATTCCTAAGCAGTTTATTCTCAGGCAGGTACTAGCCCACCAAAATGCCCCGTTATCAAGCAGCTACCCTGCTACCGGGGAGCTGTATGGCAAATCCCTCCTTCCTCGGCAGTGCTGGCTTCTCACTGGGTTTTGGTTTTCTATTTTTGCTGCAGTACCATGTAGGAAACTTGATAAGCATTTCATCATACGCCTCTTACACATTTCGGTCCATGGTTGTTTTCCTTTCTCCCACCTCTACTCCTTTCAAGAAAAACTGAAGTCAACTCAGAGAAGAAGAAAAAACACATCTATCTTCATTTTTATCAGAGGCTGGGTATGGAGATGGGATGGTTTATGAAGAGCATGTGCCTGTGCCACTCGGTCTGCCAGCTGGATGGCACAAATGCTATCACTTAAGAAGGGGATTTTATTTTTTTTTTTTTAATATATAAATGAACATTTCAAACCCCAGAAAACAGCCTCCAGCAGCATAATAATAATTTTCAAGTAGCTTAAAGTTCCCTGGTAGGGACCATGTCACCCTCCCTCCCTGCTTGCCGGGGCTGTGGATCAGGGCTGGCGGTGCAGCAGGCACCCAGTTCCCTGGCACAGTGACAACAAGGGGGTCTCACCAGGGGACCCTCCTTTCCCCACAGCCACAGCTGCCCTCCTCCTCTGCTGGAAAAGCCACTCGGGATGAAAAAAAGCATCTGCTAGCACAGTTGGGAGATCAGATCTCCAGCCTGACTAATGAGCCATGAAACCTGCAGAAATTCAGGAGCAAAGCACAGATCCTTCCCATATCCCATGGTCCCTGCGCTCAGGGGCAGGGCACACGATGGCAGAGCCTCCTGGGCACTGGGGCAGGATCACCCCGTGGATGATGTCCAGCCCCATGGATGATGGCTAACCCCAACAAGGACAGCCAGACCCTCCTCCTGCCTGCCCCGGCAGAGCCAGCACCGTGTCAGGGGCACGGACGACCATGGCTGTCCTGGCCAGGGAGATGCCACACTTGACTGCAGGGTTATGCAAAGAGCGTTTCCCACGGCACTCGTCTCCAGACGTTCCTTGCAGCTATATTGCATCGCTTTTACGATGAAAAGCTATAATTTGCTCTGAGACTTTTGAGGAAGGTAAATATGTTTCAGATGTTTAGATTAAGCCAGCTTTGCCTGCTGCTTTGGGGACCGGAGTCACCTCCAATAAAGAAATAGGTATTAAACTCTCCTCTCTTCTGATGAGATCTCCTTTACTCACACCTCCAGCAGCTGGAGCTGGGCCGTGACCAGCCCGCAGGAGCGGGAAGCAATTCTGCTCTGGCTGGGGTGGACGAGATGAGTATTTCTAAACAGCTGATCCATTGCCTGCTGATGCCCACAGACACCCACACCACAGCAGAGACCGGACCCAGAGTCCTAACAGAGAACCCTCACCTGCCTGCAGCACGTGAAGAAAGCAAAGCGAACATCAGAGCTCATCCTTCGATTTATTTGGGTGGACTTTATGGCACCCAGCTGCTTTATCTGCGCGAGAAGGGCCCTCCCACGTTGGCATGAGCAGCCCAAGCAGGGGAGGTTTGAAGGTTACCTACAAAGCTATTTGCTCATGGGAAAAGCAGAGGAGACAGAGTGGGGAGCGCACGTCTTGCGGAGGTAGCTCAGCATTTATTGCGCGCGCCAGATCGCGCAGAATAGCAGATGCTCTGGGAGAGAAGTGGCTTAGTAGGTGAACCATAAAAAAAGCATGAAGTACAGAGAAAGAATCAACACCACACCATTCATAATAAAAAATGTCCCTTTTTTCACCCTGCTCAAAATCTCACCCAGCACCACAGTTTGTACCCTATTGCCAAGCTCCGGTGCTGCTAGCAGTATCCATAGTATCTCAAAAGCTGTAAACACCCGAGATGCTGCGCGGGCACGGGAAACATATTCCGCACCACCTCATTAGGTGACAACTGACTGAGCAGAGAGGTCATTTCTGCCTCCAAGACACAACATGTCATGTTCCTTGTCCTCATCAGCTACTACAAAATCTGCACTGGTCCTAAAATCCCAAGCCAGCTCCCTGAATCCATAGCCATGGGCACTACTGGCTGGGGCAGTGTCACTGCCATCCACCCAGGGCTCCTGATGGGTTGTGAGCCCCATGGTCGTTAAGGAAACAGGGGTCACAACTGCCGAAAGTCACGCCAGGAACTTTGGAAGGGCCTGTCAAGGCCCAGGTTGGTTTGATTTACAGGTACTCATCCATGACAGCTTCTGCAGCCTGCAAGTCTTTCTTCTTGCTAGTTTTTATTTAGCTGTGAAGCTAATCTGCCACAGTGTGAATGGCTGTGTTAACACCGATGGGAAAAGAGAAAGAATGGGAACTGGTGCCCATTAAATGGGGCACTAACTCCAAAACATACTGATACGTGTTCCTGGGTAACTGGGCTATATGGCCATGTACCAGACATGCATATATGGTTATCAGCAATTATTAAACATAATTAAAGTGCACAGATTGAGGCTTGGAGCAACTTGGTCTAGTGGAAGGTGTCCCTGCCCATGGCAGGGGGTGGGACTGGGTGGGCTTTAAGGTCCCTTCCAACCCAAATCATCCTGTGATTCTATGAAGTTATTCACAGTTCTCACAAGTTCCTAAATTCATTCCCTGGATTTAACACGGATCATTTTCCCCCAGGACTGAGGGGCAGGCAGCTGCGGTGCTGAGGCTGAGCCCAGCCATGGTCAGAGCATTGCTGCTCTCCATGCCCATGGGACCCTGTCCTCACATAGCCCCTCAGCCAAGCCCACTCAGCTTGTGCTGGTCTTGTGCTGGTCACTCGGGGCAGCAAACCCTAAGTTTGGCAATTGCTTCTTGTTTCGGACCAAGAATTGGATCACACCCCTGGGTTTAGTGCTGGGAGAAGCATGTACTATGTGGTCAGCCCATGGGACATGGACAAGGATGGGGACAGCAGTCCTGGCACGCTCCCCTCCCTAGAGCTGACTGCACCAGCGGTGGGGATATCCAGGTTTCATTTGGCACAAAGACGACTTGCTTTAAATGCAAATGCAAATTCGCTTTATGTGAAAGAATTGGGAAAAGGAAATAAAGCCCAAACATTAAAGCCACCACTGGGACGTAAAAGAAACTTCAATTTCCTTCTAAGAGGTACAAATTCATTTCACTGAAGTATAACTATACACGGCTCCAGGATATAACAAATGAGGTATTTCATATTTAACCTGCCCCACCTGAATATTTAAGAACAAATTGGTTTTCATTTCTTACCATCATCAGTCTAAGCCTGTAAATTGGGGTCAGTCACTTTAAAACATTAAACTCCAGCTCCCACTAACCTTCCATGGGGGTATTATTGTCCGGCCGGTTGGCGAAGACAACGTCCACGTATTCCAGCTGCAGCCTCTGGAGAGAAGCCTTTAGCCCTGGAAACAGCAAAGCAGAGACAAGAACCTGCATGGTCAGCGAGAGGCAGGAGCACGGTGGCACGGAGCCGAGAGGTACAAAAAGATGCTGCACAAGGACTGCACAGAACTCCTTGTACTTACGTACATGTATATTATATATACCTAACCGTAGAGCATATGAGAAGGATGCTGCGTAGTGTGTTATCCCTTATCTGTGCAGCCATATTAAGAAGAAAACACCAGTTTGGCCACATGCAGAGTTCCCCCTTTCCACGAGAATTTGCTTTATGTTTTAATTAGGCTGAGATTTGGTTTGGAACAGACACCGGTTACCAAGCGTGTCCGTGGCCAGCCCATCTGGAAGCAGCTGCCAGGGACTGACTTCAGCAGTCCGCTTCTGTTGGGAGTCAGTTTAACCTACATCACACCACGGAGCCTTTCCGTGCAAGCCCAGGGCATGTCACCTCACTCCTGTCCCACCTAACGAAGCTTTGCCCCCGGGGGGCTTCCAGAGATGCACTTGGTTAGGTACCGGATGGCAGGATGGTGGCACTCGGATGAGCGGGTAATGGACCACGGAGGGCTTTCCCCTTTCTGCAGGGAAAGCAAACTGTGCCCACCAATGCACTGCACAGGGCAGAAAGAGTTTTGCAGAGCAAGACAAGGCACTGTTTTGCACCTACGGTCAAGGACTGCCCAGGCTTCAAGCGCTTCTCCATGAGGATCTGATGGGAGATGGCATCAAAAACCTACACATACATGGGTATGTATATATATATGTGCGTGAGAGGGAAAGAAGAGGATTTCTAACACTTATTTTCTATGCATCTTCCCAGGAACAAAATGTTTTTATGAATGTTCTTGAAGAATGAGCCAAAATAGAGCAGTCTGAAAATGCTTGCTGAATTTCGCAATGAAGAAAATGACCATTTTTGCCAAATGCATTTATAGAAAACTGCTAATGTTGACCTTAATGTTATTTGCTATGCTTTCTGGGAAGTTATTTCAACTGCTGCTGGTATTTTTCCATAATCTCATGAAGTGAAAGAAATATAAATATAGTAATAATGTTTTTCCATATCATCTAAATTATAAAATACCCTGAACAAACGCTGGTTGTTGAAAATTGTGACAAAAGGGCCATTGCAGGTTCTGGTGATAAAGTACGCAAACGAACAAAATGGAAGTTAAAGCTGCTGTTTCTGGCAGGCAAACCTGATTTTTTGCAGCTGGATGCTACTTTCTGATAAGCAAAGATCAAAGCTTACCTCCCGCCTGCTCCCCAAGCGTGAACCGTGAACGGGCTGGTCCCCCCGTGCCATCAAACTGCCGACACCACGGCACGCTACTAATATAGATGAGCCCGAATTCCTCTTTTCTAATTTATCTTGGCAGAAAACATTAGCTTAACCACCTAGCACTGTATAAACAATTAGGGTTCCTCTCATAAATCAAAGAGGAGGCTAATTGCCCCGGCACACTCAGCGCAAGGAAGAGGATGACTTCTCATTGCCGTGGCATGTCGGCTTAGGGAGGGTGCTGCTCCCCGGGGCTGCATCACTGGTGTCACCCAGCAAGGAGCAGCCGGTGCCCACCGCCCCAGGCTCCCCCGGGACCTGGCACACAGCGTGTCCTTTCCTACAGTCCTAGGGAACACACTTGGCACAACCCTCCGTGGCAGCGGGCAGACGCGGGTCAAGCAGCAGCGAGAGGCGTGCAGCATGAATCCCTCTGCGGAGAGGCGCAGCACAGGTACCAAGTCTGATGCTCCATCATTCCGACCCGGAGGCTCCATGGCCCCCAAGGAGCCGGACACCCCCAGTAACTCATGTCTCTCCACAGCTTTTCTCCAAACACACGCTATGTTGGCTCAGGATTTATGTAGAAGACAGATGCAGCCCCCTGTGCTGCTGGCTGCTTTTCTGAGTCTGGGACTCACTCATGACCTGTATGGGGGGGTGTCAGCCCCAGGGCCCTGCCGGGGGGCAGGTTGGCATCTGCTCCAGTCCCTGTCGGGAGCCAGCCCTTGCTGGGACAAGGTTGCAGCTGACGCTGCTGATCCTTAATATGACAGAAATGTGTATTTTCATGGGTGCTGCTCTATTTGTGTCCTGCAGGTAAAGTCCTGTTGTCACTGTGCCTGAGGTGCCGGACCTGACATCCCCCAGCCCTCTGGAAAAAGCCAGATTTGGGTGAAAAACACTCATCTGTATAGATTTATTTTCTCTCACTCTTTCCCCTGCAATAATGGATCCAAGAGATCCAAAAATGCAGTCCAAAGGAAGATGAGCATGCGTTAGACCCAGCAGAGACTTGGGTGAATAAATCCCAATGGATAAATAAGGGAGCACATGGCATGAGGGCTGCTCCACACAGGGCTGATGTCGGCGAGCAGTCAGTATCAGGGTCAAGAAGACCGGGCTCATGGTCATGGAGCATTCTCCCTGGGGTCCTGCTGGTTGCATCCCACCAAGCCCACACTGGATACGGCCAGCCCCCTGCCCCATGCAACACGTACCTTCGATGATGTGCTTTCTGGAAAGGCCTCTTTCCGTTTCAGCTCTGCAAAGGAAAAACAGGTACATGGTTTAACCCCAGGCAGCAACTAAGCGTCACACAGCTGCTCACTCACCTCCCTCCCCCTCCCCAGTGGGATGAGGGAGACAATCAGAGGGAAAGGTAAGAAAAAAAAAACCAACCAAATTATATAACTAGTCACCACCTGCTGACTGACACCCAGCCAGTCACTGGGCAGTGAGAACCAGAGCCAAAGAAAGTGTCAGCCAGAGCCCCAGGAGCCAGGGTCCCCAGCCAACTCCCCCAACTTATATAGTGAGCATGATCGTCTTATGGCATGAAATGTCCCTTTGGTCAGTTTGGGTCAGCTGTGTCCCCTCTCATCCTCTTGTAGAGAAGAAGCTGGGAACACAGGGGTTGTGTGAGAAACTGAAACCATCCAGGCTTAATGTAAACATTGCTTGACAACAATTAAAAACCTCTGTGTATTATCAACAGTCTTCTCAGTACAAATCCAAAAAAACATAGCCTCAGACCACCTACTGTGAAGAGAATTAACTCTATCCCAACCAAAACGGCTGTTAGATGTCTCAGGCACTAACGATCGAGGAGCACTAATTTTGAATTCTGGTCAGCCTGTGCTTTAAACATCCCAAAAATTAAGTTACAATTCATACAGCAGAGAGACCCTGAATCTCTTTTGGTTTTTCCAGCCTCAAAGAGCCTCTGGGATGAGTAATACCATTAACATTAACATGCTAACAGCCTTACTGTGGATATTGCCTGACCCTGTCTACCATCTGGCATTTCTAAGCGGAGGGGTAAGGATGCTGGCAGGGCAGGGATGGGGCTGTGTCAAGCTGACCGTGCATCACTGAGGCTTCACTGACATCATCCGCAATTTCAGAGTGAAGCAGCATCCAACCTGTCCTCCCTCTGCAATTCTGGGAGGGATCAAACCCAACGAAGTCCTCCTCCCAAACAAGTGCTTGTTCACACACAGGCAGAAAGGTACAGCCAAGGCTACCCCCAAAATCATTAAACACCCCGTCTGCCAGGTCCGGACCACCTCTGAGCAAGTCACCTCACCAACGAGAAACAACACCCACACGACCACAGCCCATCGTTCACATAGAGACTAGATCCAGAGGCAACATACAGCTTTGAAATTGTTCTTTCTGACTGATTAATTCTGCCTGTGTTTCTCACAACACAGGCAGATCCCGAGCCCACTGCGAAGTGATGGCACGAGGACATGGGGCAGCACCAGACACCCACCTCGCCAAAACCTGCGGCAGTATCCCAGCAGTAGCCCGGCTCTCCCAGAGAAACTGAGGACAGTGTTGCACCTCAGCTCCAACACACCATTAAATGACTTCGGTGAAACAGAAGGGGGAAGTAATTACACATTATCTGTGATGAAAGACTCCCAAAGACTAGTTTGCAGCCACATTGGTGGTTTGTTTGGGTTTCTCCTCAGACATTCCAGGAGACTTGAAAAATCCACACGGATATTTTGTTCAGGGGCCAAAAACCAACCTGCAATGGCAACAAGCTGAAGAAAGGCACGGCGGGTGAAAAGCCAGGCTTACACCTCCCAGAGCCTCAGCCCTGCCCAGCACGGCACCCCAGCCTCTGCCAAGTGCCGATGCCTTAAAAGACTTGGCAAAACAAGAAGGAAAACAGCATGAAACCACCCCTCCGAGATGCCATTGATCTCCTGGTTGTAAAAGGGAAAAGCACACAGCAACAAGCACCATTCTGAGTGACCATGAGACTTACTTTCCACCCCAGTACAGTTTTGTCGTTATGACCAGACTGGATCTTCTGCAAACAGAACAGAAAAACGAGCATTGTTCATAAATATTAAAACATAAGTAACCAAGCGGGCTGCTGCCCATCGACGAATGGCGACGGCCGTGCCTTGGTCTGCAGCCCTGGGCTCGGAGCAAGGGCTCGTACATCCCTATAATCCTCTTTACAACTGGTCTAGAGGCCAGTTCTTCCCATGCTCAGGGCATCTTCCGTAACCCTATAGGTTATAGGTCCGCTGCGGGCAGGGAGCGACCGTAGGCTCGTATCTGGAAACCAAAACTAATTCAAGTGAAGTGACCAAAAAGTAGACATTTTTAATTATGGAATAAGACATTTCCAGTGCCCTCTACCAAAGGCTATGGTATTACTCCCTCGCAGTACCCAAGTTCAGTGTTTCTCGGTATGATGCAGTGTTCCTGGAGTTAGTGAAACCCCAAGAGCGATACACTCACTGAATTAATCTATAGATTCTGATGTTACATTAAATTTAGCCCTCGCAGACTACCTTGCTGCATAACAGTAGGTGTACAACATGCGATTTATCCACCTTTTGCTAGGCCCAACATATTTTCTACAGTTTCCAGAATATTTCTTACAGAATTATCATCCCCCTAACTCAGGGGATGCTGATTTTGGTGAGAGCACTGCTAGGACCCCCCTCTTTGGTTGAAGGCTGGGTACAACACACACAGGAGGTCTTTAAAGATTATGCAAATGCTCTTAAAAACTACACAACATATGCTAATGTGCATCATTTAAATTAGGTATCATCTCCTAGCAGGCTACCCAGGATGAAGGCCCATCAAAGCTTTGCATTCTTAATGCACAGCCGTACGCACGTGGATAAGGATGCCGACGCTCAAATAATCTGTCTCGACACACCGCGCATGGGAAAGATGATGGATGTGCTCAGTAGTCGCGTTAAGCGTGCTGTGCACCCAGATGACGGTCAAGGCAGCATCGTGGCCTGATGATCACAGCCTTGTGAAACCAGTGTACACTCCCAAAAAAAACAGGAGAGTGATTTTATTTGGCACTTGAGAGCTCTGGCTGCCGCAGGAGCCCTGGTCAGCTGCCCTGTGCCCAGCCTCACACCCACAACTCCTACTCCTGGGCTGGCATCACCTAACACGCATCATTTCTAAACCCAAAAGGGTACTCATATTCCCAGGGGTCCTGCTCGGTCGTGTGGCCGCACCGTACCTCCAGCCCTTCTTCTTCAGGATGTTTCCAAGGATGACCTCAGCCCTGTGCAAGAGAGAGAGCCCCACGTGAGGGGAGGCAGGTGGATGCTCGGTGCCGGGTACGCCATCCCGGCTGCCATCTACCCCGGCTGATTCCGCCCGCTCTCATTGCACAGCTCTTCCCTCCCCTCCGCGGGTGACACTGACCCTGCACCGGCTGGGATGGGTCCCCTCCACGGGCAGAGAGCATCTTGTCCACCCACTCCCACAGGGACAGACCCGCACCCTACATCTGCTCTGGGAACGCAAAGCCACTTCACCCCCTCCCCAAGGACAGCGCGTCCCAGCCCACCTTTTAAACACAAAGCCATATAAATCGGCCAAAGTCAGATATATCCTGGATGGGTATTTCCCACACACACAGTCCCTCAGCGGCACTAAGAGCATTAGCTGCGCTGCAGACAGCGTGGTTCCCCGCGCTGGGACCTGTCACCGTCACAGACCATTCATCACCATTAAGATGCGCCCTGGGTTTTCATTTATTCGGGATATTTTCCCCCTGTGCCAACAGCAAGTGGCACAAGTGACACGTTGCAGGCTGTGGCTGGGTGCGAGGGGGCTTGGGTTTCATTTTTTTTTAAGAGTGCTCCAAAAATAAAGGTTTTTCTGTGTCAAGCCAAGGGCGGAGGGACCCCAGACACTCACTTGCCAGCTGCGTACACCTCAGCCGTGTCGAACAGGTTGACGCCGCTCTCGTAGGCGATGGTCATCAGCTGCTCGGCCACCTCGGGGGAGCAGAGAAGGCGAGGTGAGGGGGGGCAGAGCGCAGCTCCAGCAGCTCCTCCCACGTGGGGAAAAGCTCCTGGAGAAGTGGCAAAGGCAGGGAGGGTTGTTAGCATTCCCTGCCTGGGGGGCAAGAGCCTTCGGCAGGGCACCCGGGGTTTCTGTGCTGGCCCGAGAAGCACCAAAACACAGATTTACATCAATTTCCCCTTGAATCATCCTGGGAGCAATTAATAGAATCACAGAATGGTTTGGGTTGGAAGGGACCTTACAGCCCACCCAGTCCCACCCCCTGCCTTGGGCAGGGACACCTTCCACCAGCCCAGGTTGCTCCAAGCCTCATCCAGCCTGGCCTTGAACACTTCCAGGGATGGAACATCCACAATTAATCTCTTCTCATAAGAACCTCCTAGACTTTCTAATAGGAAAGCGGCCAAGAATTTAATAGGGTTATAAAAGATACTCTGCAAATCTGTGGAGTTTAATACAGAAGGGATATTCCCTGTGGTACGGGTTTAATTTTTTTTGGCTACCTGGCAGGCTGTCCTACAGCTCTCCAGACAGCATCAGAGGGAACGTAAAGGTCTGAAGGTCATTTTGTGCCTTGCCAGGGCACCCAGACATAGCCAGTGTCCTCAGTAGGGGCATCCCTCAAGGACAGGGCTGTGCTTAAGCCCTCTTTTTTTCCACGCATGAACACTTTGCAGTCACTTATCCCAAGCAAGGGGAGCAGGAGAGCCAGGAAGCAAATTCATAACTGAAATGAGTCGTCTCATTTCAGGCTGCAAAACAGGAATGAACTCAGCGATCCGCTGCCAGCAGAAGAAATACCATCAAAGATCAAGTGACTTAAAAAGCAAAAAAAAAAACCCCTTTGAGTTACGGACTCCTGGGCCGTTTTCCTTCTGCTGAAGTTATTTTGGGGTTTCTGTCAGGTGCTGGGGGAGGGCAGGCGGGAGGTCACGCTCCTCTGGATGACTAGCACCCGCAGCGTACCTGCGACAGGGGGAAACCCACGTGCTGCCCGGCACTCGGGAGGGTTATTAACTGAGATTAAGAGCCATCTGGTGTGGGCAAGACTGCGTAGGAAACCCAAGCTCATTTTCATTTGTTTCATCTTATTATGTAAAACATAAATCATCAGGCAGCTCCTTGGAAGCTGAGACCCTGCCTGTATTTATGACTGCTGCTGATTACATACGGGATGCAAAAATAGGTTCCAGTTTCTGCTCCAGGAACGGTGCCACTGCCAATGGGAAGGATGGCAATATCGCTTCAAACAGCATGGGAAAGATTGCTTTAAGGGATAGATTATTTTTTATTGTTGTTATTAAAGCTGATCTCTGGAAATGTCAGATTCATTAAGGTATTTTTGTAGCAGAAGCACAAACTTTGTATTGCTTTGCGTAGTAACTCTGCCATTTCCTCATACTGAAACTGGCTCCTCTGATTTTGGTAGCCATGGTTTCACTTAAAAATATCTCATATTGGTACTTACTCCATGCACCACGCTTACACCAAGCATTACTTACCTCGTCTGAGATCTGACCTCCAAAAGTGACCCATGTCCCTAGGAAGAACAGAATAATCTGTTATTACAAGAGGTTTTTGCCAACAAAAATTCACTCCACCAAAATTCAGGGGCGTTGGCAATAAATGGGTTTAAATGGACACAGCAGCTGCTGTGTCCTTGAGCGAGAGTTCCTGCAGCCAGGCAGAAGCTGGATCCCCTTCTCCCAGTGGGACAGCGGGGCTGGGGTGGGCATGCAGACCTGGAACAGCAGACAAACTCACTCAGGGAAGCTCCTGTAAGATCCTGTGCTGCCAGAATAGACAGTTTTATTGAAATCTGAAGCTCTTTGCAAAACTGAGTTAATTTTCCAAAGCTTCAATTTGACAAATTGGAAAAAATTTATGATGCCGCCAAAACATGTCATTTGGGGAATGAAACTCTTCCTAAGTTTGTGCTCCTGCATTTAGCATCATGCAAGTCAAAAATAGAAAACAAATTAAAAAAACAGAAGAATTTCTATTGACATAAAATCTTTAAAGCCCAGCCAAAGGAATATTGTTTCCTATATTTTATATGTATAAATATTGGGAGTACATACTTCCTAAGCCACTGGAAGAGAGAAGCATCAGCGAGCTGGGGAAGCGCCAGGTTCCACGTGGGACAGGGGACAGACACAGACACACCCTGGCAGACATCGCTCCTGCCCTACTTCTCTGAGCTTACCCCATGGAGAGCGACGCTGAGACCCAGAGAGGACGCTGTGACGTTACCCGTGCCCTTCCCAGTTTCTCACGATGCCACATGGACCCACAACACAACACTTCCCTGCACTTCAAGACCTACACGCCAGCTACGTATAGGATTGTGTGTCACTCACTGAGTGGATGGGTCCAAGCTCAGGTGCCTCACACAATCCTCCAGAATTTAAAAGTCTGCCTTACACCATCCCTTTATAAGGAGGTCAGAGGGACTCAGGTCCCGAGCTGGAAAATTCAGTGGGATTTGGGTAAGACGGAGGAGACATCGCCGTTCCAGGGAGGGCTCAGGCTCTGGTGATGCTTAGGGGGGAAAACTGAATGCTCCCTGTGTGCCTGCCTGCACTTGCCAAGGGCTTGGTGCAATAGATCCGTAAGCGCTCCCACATCTTCATTAAAAATGTATCCGTGAGCTCATTGCTCGCAGCGAGGGTGAAAGATGAACCTTGAGCAGGAGTCAGAAAGCAAAGAGCGCGCCTACTGCTAACGCCCGGGCTGCTTTGATCAGTCCCAGCCTAAAAACGGGAGTCGGCCACGGTAGGAGAATCTTGCGCTCTCTCCCTCAAAAAAGGTCAAGCTGAGTTTTCTTATACCTCAGGTTTCCTTCAGTACCAATAAAGTTACCTTTAAAGATGTGTGTTTGCTGTGTATTTAAACTGAAACTCTTGGCTTCCTGCAGGGTAGCCCAAGCTCTGCAAAAGCCAAATTTCCACATCTCAGATGCGGAACACGGCTAACGCGACCGAAATAAAGATCGAGCAAAGAACACGCGTATGTCTGACCAATTTTGCATTTACGCCTGCTCTCTATAAGGGCAATAACCGGGTGACAGCAGCACCCGCAGAGCCCAGAGCCGCCCCCGCCTTGCTGGTTATAGACCTCAGGAAAGGCACTTCCCCTTATTGCTGGAGTAAAGTGCTCTGGGATCCTGCACAACAAAGATAAAAATGAAAACAGGTTTCAGTTTATCATTAAGCTTCTTTATGCAGATAAAAAAAAAACCCAAACGAAGCCCGATTTCCATGGTAAAGCTTCAGAAGTGTTATTTTTATAGGAATACATTAAAACACATTCTTACTGAAAAACGTGTGGGGACTGTTTATCCCAAAGTGGTTTTTTTCTTTTTGCTTAAGTATGCATACAGGTCCCCAGCACAGGTGAGAAGAAAAGGAATTATTTATGCACCCTGTGGATCGCACGTCCTCTCTAACACTGAGGTGCCGACGACCTCACAACACGAACTGAGCCCCACCGAGCAGCAAAGCCTGACGCAGAAACAAAACGCTCAAGCGTTTGGGCACGTGGAGAGCAGCCGAGAGCGGGCAATGGCTCACGTAAGAGCAACGGCCACTTTACCTCTTTAGAAATAAGTAGTAAATATATGCAATATGGGTACACCTGCCCTGGATCTGCCTGTCTCCCCCGTCCCCGTGCTCCCAGACCGCAAGGCGTACTTGGCATTTCAAATGACGATGGAGGATGATTCACAACCGCAGCCAACAGGAGTGTTTTGGAAGAAAAATGTACTGGAGAAAGATATATATTTTTTTAAAGCATTACTTTTTCCCCTACCAAGTCACTGCCTCACTCTTGTCTACCCCAATTAGCTGTTTATAAATGCATCCTCCTCCACGAACCAGCGTGGCACTGGCAAATAGACCTCCCACTCCCACCCCTCACCCACCACGGTGTTCCCTCCAGCAGTTTCCCAGCTGGATATCCTCACCTTTGCCGAAGGAATTTCTGCATTAAACTAGATTTGGTTCCGTTTCCATCACATCCCAGAGCCTAGCAAGGTGATTATCGCTGGGTTACTTGCTGATGCAAAATTCACCACTCAGTGTCACTGCCAGATGTGTCACCTCTGCATGGTGGGGGTGGGGCGGGGGCATACCAGTGAAAAAAAGGGTTCCAAATCCCAAACTTTGCCTCCTGCCAGTACCACTGTATCCCTGGATTGCTCCTGGAGAGGATGACCCCAGGTGGAGATCTGGCACGTGGCTCTGGCCCTGGTGCTCGTGCGACCAGCAAACCCCCAGCCTTGGGAACGCCTGGCTGCAAAGCAGAACCCTTCCCCTCCGGCCCGGCAGACCGTTGGGGATGGGTTCCTCCTGCGGGCCAGGTTTGCAAAAGCCTTTCCCCAGGGCAAAGCACCAAGGGGTAATAGCAGAAGCTGACCCCTTTCTGCTGACAAAAATAACTCTTTTTGTACCTGGTTGTGAGCCGGTGGCTGCAGGACCCACCCTTTTGGGAAAGATTCCTCTGTGCTTTTTCACTGAACTGGTTTTCGGTGTTTAGGATGGCTGGTTTTATCCTGTTGCTCGTCTCCTTGGAGTCAGGGCTAATCACCTTGTTGGAGGCTGTCTCAATATTTTCAATAAATCAACAGGCAACCTCCACAGGCAGAATCTGCTCTGAATTAACTTAAAGAAAAATGTGACCTTGTTTTTTTTCCCCAGCATCGTAATCGCATTTCAGAGCCAGCCTCAGGGAAAGGGCCAGGGTTAGACTGCTGAGATGCCTCATTTAAAACCTGGCCTGGCGTTAGCGTGCCCAGAGGAGGGGGTGAAAGCCCAGCCCAGCCCGGAGCAGGGCTCAGCACTGGGATGATGTGGGAGCCAAGTCCCAGCAGAGCTCAGCCCGGCAGAACGGTCCCTGCTCCAGGGAGAGGTTCAGCAATCTGGGAGCGATGCTCGTGCTCTCAGCCACTATCACCGCAACACTCGCCAAATTTCATAGAATCACAGAGTGGTTTAGGTTGGAAGGGACCTTAGAGCCCACCCAGTGCCACCCCCTGCCATGGGTAGGGACACCTTCCACCAGCCCAGGTTCCTCCAAGCCTCATCCAGCCTGGCCTTGGACACTTCCCAGGATGGGGCATCCACAGCTTCTCTGGGCAACCTTGTGCTTGTGAAACAGGTGAAAACACATTTCTGTGCCTGTAAAACAGGCTGCTAACACCCCCCTGACCTCGTGCGTTCGCTCAACACTTTCTCGTGTGCTCACTCAACACTTCTCACACTCCAAGCAGCACCCAGCAAGGCAATGAATTGGAGAGTGTGAGCCGGGAGCAGCAGGATGGAATTAAGGGGTGCGCACAGCCTCGGATTTCTGTCCCGCTTCACGTTTTCCTCCGCTTTTTCCCACGACAGGATGAAGCATGCTCCCACCTCGATGAGATTTTTGGAAGGCTTTTAAGGAAGACTGCTGAGCCTTCAGAAACTTTAGTAAACCTTAAATGAGATTTTCATGCTGCAGAGCTTTTAGGGGAACACATTTATCTTTTGGGGAATGGGGAAAAAGAAGCGATTTGGAAAAGTGATACAAGCAAAGCAGACAGCTGATGGATCTGCTGCGGGAGGGAGGATGAGCTGTGCGCAGAACAAATACCCTGTACCTACAAGAGGAGACAACTGAATTCCAGGCTTTCCAGTTGTCCCCAGTTCCTGCACACATGGCAAGGGCTGTAGGACTCGCTGCTTCTGGAACAGGCGAAGATGCCCATTTCTGAAGAGATGCCTGGCAGATCTCCCAAGCCTTGACCGGAGCAGCCCAGCAGCCGCTTGGTCCCTCTGCAGCCCCCACTCATCCCCTGCAGCTGCACTCACAAAGGCTCAACATATTTAAATGCTGCCGCAGTTCCACATGCTTGAAATTAAAGAAAAGCTCTGCAAAATGGGTTTTTTCCTGCTGCTACTTCCTTCCCAAGGCTTTTCTCCACCACAACAACATTGGCTCTTGGTGAACCGTAAGGATCAAAAATAAAATCTCTGCACAGATGAGAAGGCAACTCCTTTCAAAGCCTGGATCTATTTTAACCAGAAGAGCTCTTCTCGGTGGAATGGGCCTTATTTATATGACTTGTGATATAGGGTGACTTTCACATTTTACTCTATTTTTAAAATCTAATCACAAATCATGTTGGAAAAAATAAGCCAACCCCTCAGGCACCCACCCTGTGAGAGGAACTGGCAGCAGCTGGGGATGGAGCCGGGGGCTGGAAGGGGTGCCCATCACCACAGCAGGCACCAAACATGGCAGAACCCAGGTCCTTGCCCACTCCTGCCTTTACCCACCCACCCGAGGCAGCAGCACAGGAGCCCAGCACATCCAACTGCCTTCCTGAAGACATGCCAGCACCTCTGATCTCCCGGAGAACAAGGGTCCCCCTTAAAGATGGGGCTGGAGGGGCCATGGTGGAGCTGAGCATCCACCCTGGGGGCTGCACACTCCTGATGTCCCAGCCTCGCACCATGGAAGGTGCCTGCAGTGAGAAAACCAGCCCCATCCTTTCTACAGTGTTCTGTTTCTTTTTACACACACACACACATATACATATTTTTTCACTTAAGAGTTTCAACTGCCATCAAAGGAATTGCTCGCATGAGTAAAACCATCAGGAGGTGCCCAGTCCATCCCACACTCTCATACCCAGCTGCTGAGGCCGGCAGCAGTGTGCCAATGCCTGCAGGAACCACAGCATCCTTACAGACCCGCAGGGCTATCATGAACGTGGGCTTAAGGATGCCCTTCTTGATCAAATATTGATAAGATGAAGTATTGATCAGGTATCCTGTAGTTTTTGAGTCAGTGTGGAACAGAAATAGCAAGGTACACACACACTGGAGAATAAAATAAAGAATAAAGAAGAAAATAAAGAATAAAGAAGAAAATAAAGATGAAAATAAAGAATAAAGAAGAAAATAAAGAATGGCCTGCCCACAGCCCAGGCAGATTGCCATCCTCCAAGACTGGAGTTCTGACACTTTCAAGCTCCTGGGGGCACCCACAGACACCTCTGGTGCGGTCTCTGGGGGCTGTCCCTCACAGGGATCAGGCTGTATTGGGAGGATTTTATCTCATAAACCCCCGTTTATGACAGACTCGGGAGCTGTGGGGAAAGGCACAGCCTCACGCCGCGGGCGAGGGCCCCAGCTGACGTGCAGGGCTGTTACTAGCCCTTGGGGGCTCGACTGTGAGCACCGGCGCAGGCTCCAAGGGAACACATGGTCTTAAACTGAATAAGAGAGCAGCCACCAGTTCTGCGGGGGTTACTCACCCAGCCCCAGGCATGAGACTCGCAGTCCAGATTTTCCAAGGTTTCTAGAAGGAAAAGAAAACAAAATGTTGTTAACTCCTCAGGGATGCACAACTTAAAGAACCCGGTGGGAAACCAGCCGCTGGAGATGGCAAAACCCTGCTTTTATCCAAATCAACCATTGTCCCCCAAAAGGGGCAGATTCTCCCACACCAGGGTGCCAGCTGCCCGGTTTGGAGAAGGATGGATGCGCTGCCATCACCCTTGGCATCACTGGGCTGTGGGAGAAGCTCATCACGCTCGTGGGGCTGGGAATAAACCCAAATACATCTGAGTGTATCTCCCCGCAGTAACGCCAATTAAAGCACTCACCTTACTCAGCTTCACACTGGCCAAAACATTCACACCCCTCGCACCAAGCCCTGGTCTGGCTCCCAAGCCCATGGATTCCCTGGGAATGAAACACTCCCCCAAATTCCCAGATTGAGGGGAGGCAGCAGCTTGATCCCTGCCACCACCAGCTTTTCAACGTGAGCCAGTTATTACCCTTCTCCCCATCTCCTAGACAAGATAATTAGCCAGGAGAACACGGAATGTGCTGAACGTTAAACCCCTACCCTAACTTAAACCTGTTGCTGCAGTACAAAATACCCTTTTAATTATACCCTCCCGCAGTAACCTTTACGTTGCGGCTGGATCTGGGTAATTTTTTTGCCAAATCAAGGTATAATTTGGGGAGCATCTCTCTGCCTTCCACTGCAGCGTGCTGCAATCACTGCACTTTTTGCTATTCCCAAAGAATTATTTAAAGACAAATAATAAGGAAAAAAACCCCCAAAACAAAAAACAAACCACCACAAAAAAGCCCTGCTCACCGACATCCAACATTAGCACAGGTCGTGCCCTGCTCTTTCTCTTTTTACACGCTTGATTTCATGGCCATTTCAGGTTTTTGCTCATATGGCACAATTTCCCGCATGGGAGAGCAACCAGACGCATCCCACGGGGATGCTGGGCGAGCCAGCCCCACCTGTGCGGGCAGCCCTGGAGTAGCACAGGCG